ATTTATAATGTTATTTTTAAAATCTTCACAGATTATATCAGATAGATTCCTTTGATATCAATATAATTTGCAAATGTCTGCTGTGTTTGTTTACAAAATCAATGAGATTAATAATTCATAATCAAATTAGATTATAAAAATTCTTCCAAAAATTAGCCTTTAATTTATAATCATGATAGATCTAATTACTCACATATGGATTTTCTTCAATTTCCTGAAGAGCCTTGATTTCTCTGAAAGGTTGGCAAAATATAGAATTACATATTTATCAATGAGTTTACAGATTTTTACATCCAGGTTTTCCCAGCCCTCATTTGGATGGCCATTAGCCTCAAAAGACGGTCTGTATTTTTAAAGACGACTGGACAGCTTACAAAATTTTTGGGGTTGGTTGGGCTTACTTGGGTTGGGCTCCCTTTAAATCCATGACTAAATTACATATTCACATTTTGGACTCCCTGCACCAAAAAGTCCTGGGGAAACCCCCAATTTGTATTAATAATTACTTTTTCAGTTAATAATTTTCAAATTATATATAACAAAAATGTCAGTAACTTCAGCAATTGAAGGGTCATGCTAAAAAACTGACAGTAGATGCTTAGAAATTGTGCCACTCCATTTCTTCACCTGAGAGCTGTATTTGGGATTCCATCTTCCAACTTCTTGACTGACACTTTCTTCAAGGCTACAACTTCACCACTCTGAATAAACATATCAGGTTTTATTCAAAATAATCCACATGTAAGAATAAATTATCTCTTTTTTGCTGGCACACACAAAAAATATAAACACATTTTATAATAAGCAACTGGTGGTTATTCCATCTAAAGACAAGAAAATAATTGTTTCACAAATTAAAAACTGCAGCTTATGTTTTCTGCTTTTAAAATATCAGAATTATAATAAATTATAAATATTACCTCAGTGTGTTTAGCCTTGAAGACGATACCATGTGCTCCCTCTCCTATCCTGCCTAGAATGTTGTACTGCTCCATGCTGTAATATAGCTGCAGTCACACCCCTACTTACGCTTGGTTATAGACTGGACAATGGCTACTCAGACCTAGATATGTATATACCATATGATTACCAAATCCCATCAAATACTAAATGTCTTCCGTGAGGTACAGAGTGGATGACTCAGTTACTTCTAATACAATCCAAATAACTTCCAATCCTGACTGTTAGAGAGCTGGGCTTCATTGCAGATAAAAATTCTCTGCTGGATTCAGATTCAGGATTTTTTTACATTTCAATACGGGATCCAAGATTCATTACCAGAAAGTTAAGAGCATAGACCTGTACTTGGCTTTATTTATGTTTGGAATCTAGGAAAACACTGACTCACTCTGTATACATGTATTCATTCAACATTCTCTGTCCAAATTATGTTGCCTGTTTTCATACATTATATATTCTGTGTTCGTATTTGCTCCAAGTCATTGTGCAGCCTGTCCTGAAATAAACAACGAATTAAGATAATCACACACGACCAGTTAAATAATACAATATCTATTAATCATTTGGAAATAAATGTTTAACATTTGTATTCTTCTTACAACTAATTGCTTTTTTTTTTTGTTGTTGTTGTTGATTTTACTAATTTCCAAAAACACAACTACACTAATATTTGTTTTCTGGTGGTCTAAAGAAGCATTACATGGCTTATTCTAAGCGGTTTTAGGTTCACAAACCGAGCAAGCCTTGAAGTTGAAGACGGCCCAAGGGCCAAGCGTGGCTTCGTTGAAGTAAAATAATTGACGCCGTGTGTTTCAAAATATACAAAACAGTAAGAACTTATATACCAAGCAATATTTCTGAACTTTTCTTTAAAACGTGCTTACAAACATGCACCAACAAAAGGAGTTCCACGTGAAGAAAAATAATTTAATTTTGGGAATTTTAAACCGCATGACACAGCCCGTATTTACCTTATTTCTTTACCATAACAGCGGAAGTTCTTAATGCAACTTGTACCTCCAAACAAGGAAGAGTTGTAGTATTCTCGCTTTCTACTAGAGGTCACCTGTAGCACTGCGCTTAGTTTCGCTTTCATCTCACTCCTTTGTACGATGCTATTAAGAATTCTCGGTGAGAACTGAGTGTTTTAACTCGTAAAATACGTCGGCAACGTTTCAAAGGAGAGTCTTTTCTGAGAAACTGGGCCTTTTTTATCTTTGTAAGTTTTCTTAACTTTACAAATTGCAAAGAATGTAGGTCCCGTTTGAAGCACCCATTGCGTGGCCTGTCCCTGCACTTGAGTCAATACTTTATGCTATTTTTAATTAAATATGAGGACCCATAAACACCGGCAGCTCATAGAAAGATTTCTTTGAACCAATTAAGGGACCGTCATTGTTAATAAAATGATTGAGCTGTGCACGACCTGTCAAGCATTTAGTTTAAATGGTTATTGATGCTAAAATGTTATCTAGTAAAAATAATCTCTCAACACAATAGCGCAAAAATATACCAAGTTTAATTACAAACAGACACAAGTCTACTAACATCATTTCAACAGTTTATTTCCAAATTGATAAGTTTAAGTATTGCCTAAAACAGATATATTTATTGTCCAGCCTACTTAAAAATTAGAATTGACAAGTATTACAATTAGAAGACATAGAAACAAACATGCCTGAATTCAGTCAGCAGCACCAGGTGTCACAGTCTATGTTTTAGACAGGTTCCAGGTATTCTTCATAACTGACTTATAAGGACTTCCTTTGTGATAAAAAATTGTACAGAACAGTAGATTTTTAAGACCTTGCCATACTAGTCTTGCCCCCCAAAAATGTAATTCTCTGTTATTTCCTTGTATAAGTTAGACAAGAGGTAAACAGGTTTATCACGGAATCCATATACAGAGAACATGATACAGTCCCCAAGCCCATTAAAAATGTCAGTAACACTTCGTGAGTATTACAGGCAAAAAGTACATTTTCTATTCAAACAGTCTTAGATAGCACACTGGAAGCTGACATCTGCCATCTTAGTTATATTGTGACAATAGAGATAATTTTCATCTTTCCCCTGTTCCACCTGAACTGACAGTGTTACATCTTAAACACACATACACTGATCTTGTTAAATTTAAAAACAATATTTATAAGAATTTTCTCTACAACCAGTGTTTTGCAGCTTTGTTAAATGTCAAGTTATAGTTATCTTTAAGCCACTTTATTTCAGCGGAAGTTCAAATTCACAGTGCCACTGCACACTTTTTGCTGAATAAACATACATTTCTGTTAACTTCAAACAAAGAGTTTACACAGTCATATGTTCCTTCAACCTTAAAATTGAGGTCAAAGTTTCACTATATTTTGCAAAAATGTCCCCAAAATAATTCCAATACTACCGGTAAGTACATTTCAGAACATCAATTTTGTCAAATATAATCTTCTCCATGATTCCACCTGAGAGAATCAATGTCATCATTACACTGCATGTTTTTATCACAATGATAAAATGTCCTGGAGGTAATTCTTAACTTCCTCACTTAACACCAGGGGTTGCGTCTGATCTACCAGCTACTTCAACTCACTACTGTCATAAGTCAGACATTCAAGCAGGTCTTTACTGCTTTCCATTCAGCTTAAGAGGACCCGAGATGTGTAGCCACTTTCTGAGTGAGTACCACCAGCTGGGTTAAGAACACCAGTGGCATTACACCACACAGCATGATCTGAGAGAACTGGGACTCTTCACTGTCACTGTCACTACTATGGTCCCTGCCAGACACAGATCTGAACACTTTGGTTGATTGTCCTCTGTTCATTCTATCCAGAAATAACAACTGTGACAGCCATTTCTGTCTTTTCAAAAGTCTCCTTAAAATATTTCCGAAATGCCTCCATAAAAAACCTGAGGAATATCCATGAATGCTCTCAGCTGTCTGACCTGCCTGAAACGTTCTCTTCCAATAATTCTTTCTCAAATATAAAGAAAAACCCTGTGTTATCTGTTGAGACTGATCTGAAAGGACTGGGACGTCTCCATCTTCAGGGCCTCCCTGACAACCATGGTTGCATAGCAACCCTTAGGAAGACTAAACTCCACTTTGATTGCCTTCAACTTCCCCTCTGTAAACAAAACAAAGTGAATTTAGTCCAACGACTAACTTATACCTCAAATAATAATAATACTTTTGCCACATGCTTCTTGTACACAAAATGTTTACTTTTTTTTCATGTTGAAAATTCAGTAATTTTAGCACCTGTTTTAAATGACCAAACAATATGCATAACTTCTCTCAATTTAACATTTTCTAAATATCAACAATTTGTCTGTGTCAATGAAAAAACTGAAATGAAGATATCATATCAATTCATGAATTTCATATTGTTAGATTCTAAAAACTCATCGCATATACAACTAACCCTCAGATTGTGTGGGTAGCTCCACATTATTAAGTCTATCGCGGTCTGTGAGCACCAGGGGAATTGTGTTGTCGTCATAGCGATGGATGCTCCATTTGACCCCCTCTGGGCGTACTAACATCTTCCTGTAACTACCAGATACAGAGAATGATCTGAAACATGAAAATAAAGTAACCATCAGTTAACTGTTTACATATATTACAATAATGATGCATCTTACAAATATCAGAGTTAAAGAGAAAAGAAACTTGCATTCTTGCACGTAAGCAAAACAGTCAAAACTTGTCTACATCTTTTGATATCAAAATGTTATCTAACTCCAGGGATGAAAATATAATTCATGAATGACGTACTTTAAACTCTGTTTGAAGGTGTCTGCATCAATTCCGTCTTTCTTGAGCAGGTCACTTATCCATTGTTTCACTGGAAATACATGATTAATTATATTATTCTATTCCATAACCACATTTCATTTTATTTTGGCACATACTCCTTAGTAACAAAACCAAATGCTGTTAAGCCACTCTAACATATTAAATAACTTACTGAAATCAAATAATATTTTTGACTTCTGTGATTGTTGTGAGAGTAGCAAAAACTGACATCTTTACAGATTGAACTTTATTGTATTAGAGATACAACTTCCTTTTCTTAGAGAAATTAGAGCAACCCACACCTTCATTTTCAGGGTAAGTAACACCATATCCAGGTAACGGTATGACAACATCATAAATTGTATAGTTGGCTGCGGTCTCCTCTGTGAGAACTGTTACACTGGGTTGACTGGCAGTGTCCCCTGCAGAAACAGAAAGTCAAGAGTAGCAATTTTATAATAATATATTATAATATCTAATTTGTCTTTGACATGGTCAAACAAATAAAATAATTTCTTTTGACATCAATCTTTAATGGTAAAATTTATGATAAATAAGCATTTTTTGTCATAAATCATTTAACCTTATGGAACTGAAATATTAGTTTGGAACTAACTTGGAGCAGCAGAATCATCAGGAAAAAAGTTTGTTACTTTTATATAACAGAAAAAATACACACCAAATGGTTGACTTATATATAGCACAAAGTCAGAGTGAACCAAGACAAATAATAATAATAATATTCAGCAAACTGCTTTTCAAGCATTATAAGTCAATAATTACCTTTTTATATGAACAGTTTTCAAAGCTACTGCACAGCAATTACCTGACTTCTGAGATTGCTCTTTTACAGCATCCAAATCATCCACATCGCAGTCAGCGCCATCTACAGTATCGCTATCCAGGACCAGGTCGCCTGCCATTGGCTTCATTCCAAACTGTCGTATCCGTCTGGACACTATCTGATTCCATATATAACTTTGATAGCTGTGCATGTACAGGGTTCTACTGTTCTTGGGAATCTGATTTAAGAAAAAAAAAATTAAAGATTATATAAACATTAACAGGCCTCTTCCTTCTTCAACCTGAGCATTTTGCATAAAAAATTAGAGAAAAATCAAATACCATCCCCACCTCCACCCCCATGTTACCCACCATTTGTATGGCTGCCTTGAAGTTTTTCCCCTGATGTTTCTTCAGTCCAGTCATCACATACTGCTCCACACAGTTAAACCTGCCGATGACTGCCAGGGCCTGACCAGCGTCCCTCGTCTCTGACCACTTCTGTCTGCACTGCTCCGGTTTGTCCCAGCCTTAAGAATTAAAAAAAAAAGCATTCATTAATATATAAGATATAAAATATCCCAGCCTTAAGTGTTATAAAAAATAAACATTCATTAATATATAAGATGTCCCAGCCTTAAGTGTTTAAAAAAAAACAAATTCATTAATATGTAATTTATAAAATGGCCCAATCTTAAGTGTAATTAAAACAAACAAATTAATTAACATGTAAGATATAAAATGTCCCCACTTGGGGTGTTACATAAACAAACAGATTCATGGACATATAAGATATCAAATGAAATTCAAAACTTTCCAATAAGACCTGTATCAAAAGGGTGTGAGGCTTTAATCGCAAATGCAACAGAACTGTGACAACAAGATGAAAATGTCATTGGTCAGATACCATTTTACATAATTTTTAGTTTAAAATCTTTAAATGATTTTTAAAATAAAATGTATCCTTTTAAGATCTGATTTCTGTTGAATCACAGCTTGAAAACAAAACAAATTCAGATCAACAAAAGACCAAAGTTCTCATACTACTAAAAGTCACATGTAAATTTTAAAAACTTGATCACAACAATAATATCTGCATTGGTGATTCAATTGTGCTGCACAAAGTACATAACTTAGCAAAACACAATTTTTGAAAACTGAAAAATAGTGTTACAGTACTTCTCTCCCCAGGTTTATGTCTTGGCTTCATAATCAGCTCCAAAGCCTCTTTATAATCACAGTGCAACAGAGCTCTGAAATAAACACGACAACACAGTCATGTGAATTGTTTTACATCATAATATGTTCCAATATTTCACCCCACCCCTACCCTTAGTGTGGGTGCTACACCATAACATTACAGTTAACAAAATGCACGATTTTGTCTTCAATCAAACATTTCTGCAATGGATGACTAATAGAACATTAGACAAATTCAGACTTAAAATACATTGTATTAAATCTTCCAAACAAGATGATATCTAACCTTCCTATGTGGTGTGTGGGTACAATTGTTGTACCAAACCTCTGCATTCCAAAGTAGTTAATCAGTCCTGTCTCCCGTACCGCCGTCCACCCAGCATTGATCTGGTCATCTGTGCCTAGTACATCCCTGGAACAGCCACAAAGAACATATTACATCACAAATCTATGATAAAGTTAGTTTACTAGACATGTCAGCCATGTCCTGTTAAAGAACCCTAACAGTTCTAACAATTTGACACAATTTTACATTAACAACAGGTTGATATAATTTTGGTTTAGACTTTGGTGCAGTGAAATCTCAAAGAGATAATCTGATGTTAAACCATGGGTTCCCCTGGTCCTTATACTTGTGTATGATATCTGATATATCATTATTTAATTAGAATGAAAAAACTTAATGACCATAAATTAAACAACTAGAATAGCCGTGGCCAGCTAAACCCAAAAGAGTTTCTGCCTTCTAAATACCATAAACTAGTACCATTTTACCTACATACCTAAACTTAGAAGAAAATAATTTCCTTTGTTTAATAATTACATTTTATTTTTTGGCTAGTGTGGGGAGTCACCCAGCACAATCCTGTTAAATGACTTATCAACACCACTTGTATATACTGGGTAACGTGGACTTGACACAAGTATTCAAGGTGGCAGGCAACCATAAAATTTTACATAATTTTTTCAAAATTACCACTTCTATATTAATATTATGCAGCAGACCTTTCTCACCTCAATACAATAGTGAAATGGTTTCCTTTCAGTTGCCCTAGGGTTACAGGGTGATCCACATATCTGTACAACAAAATACTAATATGTAGTATTATAACAAAATTGGACATTTAAAAGTTCAAGATCCAGGGAATTAATATAGTTCAAAATCCAAATGCCATATATATATATACCATATTTTGACTGATTATCTAGGAGTTTAACATCAAGGTAATATGACCATTTTAATAAATTGAATCCATTCATAATGCAGGATTTAACTAATACAATATATTGCTTACAACACAGTTTATTTAATCCAACAGAAATGTTATTCTTTACAATTGTTATCATTTCAAAATTTGGAATAAGTTATTTTTTAAAAATAATAGATATCATACCTAAAGTTTCCCATGGCCAAAGTATCAGTATGCTGATTGAGTTCTTGGATCCTTTTTGCATCAACTCTGAAAGAAAAGTTACCCCCACCTTTCATGATCAAAGTATCAAAGAAATATTTGCTATCATATCTTTCTGTAAGAAACTGTTTCTGTTACAGTAATTAGTTTATCTTACAAGAAGCAGGATACATAATAATTAGTAATGTCTTACTTGAAGCAGGATATATACTGTGTGGTCACTGCTCTCTTGTCTTTGGTCCCAGCATAGCAAAACATGTTGGGCTTGATCCTAAAAATACCAAATATTAAAAATTAAAAAAATATATATATTTAAAATATGAAAAAATCATCTTTACCATCCTGTGAGGTGTGTGTACTTGTGTCTGACATATTTTTGATGTTTTCTTATGGGAAGTAAAATGACAGACAGACAGCTGAATCACATTTTTGTAAGGAAAATGTAGTAGGCCTACAGATAGGGCGAGTCTCTTTAACAGCAGCGAATGCATTTCATACTTGTCACATAATATATATATATATATATATATATATTAGCAGGGGCGGATTGAGGCTGTCTTCTGGGTCTTCAGGGAGACAGATTTTCAAGTTTACATTGACGGGTGTCTAATTTTTTTTTCTGTCGAAAGACGATCAAAAAATGAGTTATGGATCAACAAAGATAATTAGGAAGGCTCTCAGAAAATATCTCTGAATCTGCCCCTGTTCAGATAAAGTTTATATGGAAAAAACCCTTAAAACATCCTACCTGAGAAATCTGGATATTTGACTAATGGCCTGCATGGTATCCTTGTTCTCCTTGTACAGTACAAACTTCAGGTGTTTTCCTCGGCTCTGAGGCCATACCTGTGAGGATCGACTCTCCCCTAGGAAATAACATGTGATGGTCATATATCCCAGAATTCCATGTCAAGTTTTATAACTCTGGTGACTAAACAGTAGGGGGAACATTTGAAATTATTATTACAAGGTTTTATTTTTAAATTATCAGCCTATTCTACTACTGCCTCCACTTGTTTTAGTTATTAGGTTTGGGAAACAGAAACATAACTAAAATATTGTGTTGGATCTTTATTTGTAAAGGGATTTGAGTTTATAAAGTTAAAACTATTCACTACACCAGACAGAGAGTAGCCAGGATTTGTAAACTAAGCTCCAGTACAGTCAGCTAACAGCCCAGTGAGGACCATCTAGAGTGAATTCAGAGCTCTCATAGATAAACCTTTACCTTAAGAAACTTCTCTAATATAAAAACCAGACTTGATTAAAATTCATCACAAAATTGGACAGTGCTTTTTACCTCTACCATGGCTATCAACCTCTGTATTTGGTAATGACTTATCACAATGTGAAGCAAACTTTTTATATTTAGTTATTCACCCGAAAGAAACAAAAGTCAAAAAAGATTGTTACACCTTAACCAACTTTCTCACTTATTTGTTTAATAAATATCTTTCACAAGCCGAGTGGCCAGCTATAGTACTACCTTTTTTGAAAGAGACCTCAATGACACTTGCTCCTATCTCACTTTTCACAGTTCTGCCATCTAAGTTAGGATACTTCTTCTTCAAGGTTTTGTACATCTGGGTTCTCATTTCTTTATCTTCCTGGACCTGACACGGAATTCATTTTGAAGAAATTTGTTCACATATTTTATACAGACATAACTAGTCCTGTCCAATTTTAAAACTGTTTTTTAAAGATCATTAAAATCTTCAGATTAAGAATTTTCTCTCTCTTTTTTTCTTTGTAGAGTGAAAATGATAGGTTTATACTACAATGACTTGAATATCAGTTTTATGTCATACACCAATAACCTGCTCACACACAAATGCATGCACGCACGCACACACACAATAAACTGTTACAAGTTTTTTCTCACTGGCAGTGTCAGAGTGGCAGCCTTGTCTTCTCTTGTCACAAACTCCTCAAGTTTAGCAATGTCTTCTGCAGAGAAGAATGGGCATAGGTCTAATCCTGGATCTGGACACTGGGACAAAAAAGAGGAAGAAAGCAATAAGTTCAAATTCAATCACTTCAAAAAGTCCTAGAACATAAACACAACTATCTAGACAACCCTTTTTTTATTAATTATTAGTGTCAAATATATCATAAATTATTGTAAAAAAAAAACACAAAAATGTGTAACTGATACCAAATTGAATATAACTCATTCCAAGTAATCAAACAAATAAAGAAAAATGTATACAAAATAGCTTCCAAGACCCATTAGCTTAAGTAGTAGTATGGTAGGTCAATCATTCAGTTCTCTATGGCAATAAGTAAGCTGTACCATGTTAAAATCATCCACTTGATTTGGACAGAGAAAAGTTATCATGGTTCCATGTAGAGATGTACCTACAGTACATCTGACCATAAAATCTAATATATATATTTTTTTAATCTCACCTCTTCCTTCTCCAGTGGCAGAGACAGATCTGTCAGGTGCACTACATTACCATCTGTGTCTATTTCATGGACTATGAAATCTGAAAACCTGAAGGAGAGAGGTGATTAAACAGCTGTAGATCAGCACACTGGGGCCCTGTCTGTTACCACACTCTGGTGAAAGATGTGGAATTAGGAAATTAATACCAGTCTGGAATACCAATAAAAGCTGCTTTTCTTCTAAATAGTAAATTGAAATACGTAGAATTGAAAACTATAAGAAATGAAATTACTGAAATATGTAGATGTACAGATTTTGATATGAAGATATCCAGGCACAGCCATTTACATCCTTTCTGGATCCAATGGAATACACACATAATTTCAAAAACATAAAGACTATGGAGGAGAAACAATTACTGGTATTTAAAGTATTTTTTAAAAAACACCATGTACTACACCTCTGTTTCAGTACCCCAGTGAACCCCTGATGTGAACTGAGGTACTCAGTAATTCCACAATCTTTCTCAGTGAGGAGACTTCCATCTTCACTCCCTGTGATTTCTTTTTCTTTAACCACAACAGGATCTGTTCCTTCTTCTAATTTCTGTTTCTTGGCTAATGGCTCCAGATTGTCCTCCTGTACCTGGGATTCAGCTGTATGTTGGGGAATATCTGCCATGTTCCAAATATCACTGGCACATTCAGTCTATCATCTCTATCCTAAGCTGAAAGATACACACAGAATAACTGAGAAACTTTAAGATGCAATGTTGTCTATATATCAACTAAATGAAAACAAAAAGAGGCTCAAGTTAAACAATACAATGATGGTTGTTTTACATTTAAGATTTCAGTACGGTAAATTGCAGAGTATACTTGCAAGAATTAGCAAATGGAATCGATCACATTTGACTTGGACAGAGTCCAAAATTTGACACTTCTTGTCTGGAGTATCCCCCCCCCCCCCCGCTCATATAACTCACCATATAACAATCATATAACCCCCACCGTATTAATTTATATATGCATTAATTTAAGTATTGAGGATGAGAAATATATATGCTACACAAACATACCATTTACTAATTTTAAGACGTTTTTTAAGAGAACTTTATTAGAGCCGATCGTTTTCCTCGGGTTGACAACGTACAGCTACTGTAGATGGGTCACCGCAGCTAGATCTGTTGTAACTTCTTGGGTTGACTAGGGGAAATTAATTTGCTGTAATCGCATTTGTCAAAGAACTCAAAGGTTTACTTAAAAAAGATTTTAAAAAATAAGTAAATGAAGTCTATGCTTTCTTGCCTTCAAAATCGTGCCACATACCATTACACTGAGAGGAAACACTCATCAACAAGAGAATCATCAACACGTAAACGTAACAGCAACACGCGTGTTTTCATGGAAGGAAATTGTACCGGAAGTGACGTTGTGTGCCGTGACCTACTTAATTTCACTTTGAAATAGAGACAAGCCAAATGTCATAAGCCGGCAACAGTTTCCCCTATTAAAGTATACTTCAGGTTTAATAAATTTTTGCTAAAATCGACAGATATTCTCAAAAATTGCCCATATTTTCTAAAGTCTGAGTTATCTACTTTCTTTGACACTCACTTTCTCAGATGTCAGGATGGCCGAGCGGTCTAAGGCGCCAGACTCAAGGTTGTACATGGGCTACCTTGCCTTCTGTCAGAAGGTACGAGTGTTCTGGTCCACGAATGTGGGCGTGGGTTCGAATCCCACTTCTGACACACTCTTTTTCCTTTTTCTTCACCTTTTATATTTTGCTTAAGGCTTGTTTTGTCAAGTGGTATAAAACTCGGCGTTTTATATTTGTAGGAAAGGTTTTAAAAGATTCACAGAGAAAGCTATTGGTTTGGTACATTAAAGTGGGAAATTAAAAATTTACGTCAGGAAACAACTTTAGTTCGTTGTTTTGATGCCCAAAATTACTGACATCTCCATCCCAACAAAAAACTAAGGTGGAAATAAAAGTAATATAAATAGATATATAAATAAACCGCCTGACCGACAACTGTAGTATCAAATTATTGAGAACTGATCTCTCAGCAACATACCATAGATGAGGGCAGAAGGCCAAAATTTTCAGATTTAGAGTCCCCTTTATACACAGGCCATTGTGGCATGAGACGATGGACACATGACTCAGTAGTAGTAAATATCATTTTATCATTTTTATTTGATCTTATGTATCTGCACAACCTCAGTCTTTTAATTGTTTGCAATGTTTTTAAAAAAGTAATATTATTATATTAAACTATTTTCATACATTAAGTCACTCCAATCGTACATATGTTATATATTAATACTGATAATCCAATAAATTTTCCGAAAAATTAATGCAACATAGTAAAATACAGAGCACTAAGTAATTTTTTCACTCGTATATAGTTTAATTTATAGCAAATGACTTAGATAAATGTATTGTATCTATATAATAAAAATTGGTAATTTTATTGGGAAAACAATTATATTTAAACTGAAACAAATTAAGCATCGTCATATTCTCAATCAAATTACTCTGCCAGAAGATTTCATCTCTGAGAATGTCAGTTTCAATAAAAAAATATTTTCAGTGAAGGTTTTCCATGATAAGCAGGAAACAATACATATTTGTATTACATAACAATAAGTTCCTATTCATTATGTGATAGAATAGCTTCAAATTGATAACTTTCCAGTCAGGACTTGCCATTATTATCAGGCTGCAGTGAATGTTTGCTTTATAACAATACACAGTGCACAGAAATACTTTATTTTCTGTGATGTAGTCACAACTACCAATGCTCGTTTTTATATACAACCAATGTGCCGAGGAACAAAACATTCATGATACAAGTGAGATAAGAGCTACTGAGTACACTGGGTCTGCTAACTAATTAAGTTATGAAATATCCATTTTGTTTTACAAACATAATATATCCGTAGCCCATTGTTGGCTTGGTATACTAAGAATCAGTTATAATTGGAATACTTTAATCTCGCCTCCTTCCCCAACGACCACTTGTCCGAGACGGTTTATTGCAATATCGTTTGGTTTGAATAATCCATTTTCTTCGCTTAGAGTTTTGGGCGAAGGGTGACAATATCCTTAAACTTTTTCATACATAAGTCTCTCCGAACGCACTTCTAATTCTGATAATCCACTCATTTGTTTGGGATATTAGTGAAACAAGGTATAACGCAAAGCATAACCTAATTTTTTACTCGTATTATTTATAACAGATGTCTTTGATAAATGCATCGTTCCATTATAATATTTTTGGTTATTTTACTGGGAACAACAAAAATGTGAAACTGAATAACAGATAATAGAGTAGTGATACATGCATTACTACTTGTAACAAAAATCGTCTTATTCTTAACCAAGTAAGTATGCCAGATTTTTTCTTTTCTAAAAATAACAGTGTCCATGTAACTTTTTTTTCAAATACGTTTTTCAGTATACAGGTGACAGGAAACAGTGTCTTTATTACAAAATATACGTGACACAGTAAGTTCCTATACTGTGCTAGAAGCCTTTTTTTCAGTCAGGACGTCCCATTATAATCAGGCCACAGTTATTGCTTGAATTATTACAATATACAATGAACAAAAATACTTGATAATCTGTAATGTATCCGTTTAGTTATGTACAGCTGACAATCCTCGCCCTTGAGTGTATATGCAACGAATTTGCCGAAATATCTTTATTGAATCAAAACGTTCATGATACATATGGAATATGAGCAACTCGACTCTGCTAACTACATGCAAATAATGAAATATCCATTTTTAAAAACGTTATGTTTTCACAGTCCATTTTTAGCGTGGTATAGTCGGTCATAATTGGAAGACTTTAATCTCGCCTGTCTTTTCCCCAACGATAATTTGTCCGAAACGATTTATAGCAACATCTCTCGGCCAGTTAAGTCCATTTTCTTCACTTAAAAGAAATTGCTTGAACTTTACATTTTGAGAAACTAAGTGTAGACGATGGTTGTTGAGGTCTATTAAAATAATGTCTCCATTATCCAAGCAGCACGTGCCGCCTGGACCGTTCACCTGTCCGTCCACATCACCCTCGTAACCATATTTGTATTTAAGCTGGAGAGTGGAATCGTATACACGGATGTGATCATCTCCTGGATCCGTGACGATGACGTCATCATCTTTTACGTTACAGTGGATGTATTTGGAATATTTTCCCCATGGGTCTGGTGTCGTTTGCAGGACCTTGCCATCCTTGTGATGCACAGTCAGAGTATTACTACCGGCCACCACATAGTGACCCTTGCTGTTGACCGCTACTGCTTCTGGTGACTCACTGTAGAATGTTCTCACGTGGTCCCCTGTCTTGGTGTAGACAATGATTTCATTTGACTCTTGACATCTGGTGACGATGTTACCGTCATCATCAATGGCAATGCCGGCAAAGGCGCCCTTTTCTGCTGCTCTTGGGTTAGGTATTGTGCCCTGTAGGACAAAGGTGGTATCATAGATGTGAATTCTATTCCGTGACATATCCTCCTGACACCAAATACCAATAAGGATGTCAGCACTTACATCAGTGGTCACATGACTGATTATCTCCTCTGGAGACTCGGCCAGGTCTACTTTGAACGATGTCACCAGTCTTCCACTCGCGGCAGGAACCACGTCTCCAAGGCAACGGTTGATATTGGTACCGCACTCCTCCATGTCTTTGGTGATAAGCTGTAGCTGGGTCATGGTGATGGGAAAGGTCGGTATGTCGTGAGTATGAACGCTTTCGCTGCGATGCTCACAGGCGGGGGCCATTTGCAGGACATCAATATCGTTGCCAAGGTTTATAAGCTTTCTGGAGAAGTCTACAGCGTCGTCCAGTTGCTTTTGGTTGGTGATAACAGTCGCAATCAAAGCATTTAAAGTTTGTAGTGCGGCATGTGACTTGATTTCTATTTCTTGCAGAAGGTCATCAGCACGTCGACGGACCATCTTAATTACTAGTTCTAACTGCTTGTTCACTTGACTCTTTGCCTTCTTTCTTCCCTCTTCTACTGACGCTTTCCGGACTTCAGCAGCGGTTTTAAATTGATCGTAGAGTAGGCTTTTCTTCTCGATGAGCTTCAGGCGGAGTTGAAGATTTTCCTTCTCTTTGTCCGCAGCGGCGGTGATTCTAAGGCAATCATGATCCTTGTGTTCCAAAAACATACATGGGGCGCAGATGAACTTTTTACACATTGGACAGAAAATTTCTACGGGGTCTTTCTTGTTGTGGTCACAAAGGATTTTTTGTCGGGCACGCAACTCTGTCACATATTCCTCGCTGTCTATCTGGTCGACAGGAAACAATTTGTGGTCACGGTTTAACTTGTGAAGCACATGGTCTGAGGAACAATCTCCACACATACTTTCCTCGCAGTCCAAACAGCGTTTTGTGGCGGGTGGTGGATTGCGGATATTTTTCAGACAACATACTTCGCATTTCTTGTCAGCTTTGGCTTGTTCCATTTGATCAATTGTATGTGAGATGCTGACCAGAAGGTGGTTTGTTTGTAAACCACTTACACCGCCCCTAGGGAGGTCACACTGACGTCTACAGATAGGACAAGGGAAGCCAGGCCGACCTCGGAAATTTTTGTCCAAATTTTCTTGGATGCAATGCTTGCAAAACGTATGTGCACAGCCGAGACACTTTGGATCTTTGAATTTTTCGTGGCATATGCTGCACGTCAGGTAATCTTTCGTTAAGACCTTGGACAGAGACATGGCTCAATCCTCAGACCAATATCTTAAATAAAGAAATGAAAGGCATCACATTAATGCCAAAGATTTGGTAATGGAAGTTTTTCATTGTATGCCCTCGATAGGATATAATGTGTATAAAATAATTATAATAAAAAATAAAACAATGGATGTTCTCTGATAAAAGAAAGCAGTGGTCAGAAACCAACAACTTGAAAATTAAAAACGTGTAAGATTAACCCTGTTCAAATTTAATAATAATAATAATAATAATAATAATTATTATTATTATTATTATTATAATTCTTATATATATTCTTTTAGTATTAAACCCATACAAATATGTAATATGTAATAGAATACAATGGTACAGGGTTACAAGCAATGGTCAATTAAATATAAATTGCATCAGTGGCCAATAATAATGTATTAAATTTTAATTGCTCAATCATGAATTTTGTAAATTGATGAGTTTTTATTTCTTTTTTAAATCATGTACTGTAAGTATCGAGGAATTCGTTCTTAGCATTGTCCACTCTCTGTCAGGGTGGAGCAATGTATAGGGTTGGTTCCATTTAATTTTGATTTTTTGAAAAGCATTTGTCTGTGCGTGCATAAAACAGCTCATTCAAAACCTCTAACTTTACGCTTTTAAGCGAATTGAATGCCATTTCTTGGTGACGCAAATACAAATTTCAGTTTGAATAGAAATGCACACCTAAAGCGGGTCCTGCAAACAATATCCAACATATTTTCTTTAACTGTACACATTTAAATGCTCAATAAAATTTCTATTTCTTTAACTTTAAGAATCAATGGCATCTTTTGTCAACATCACAAAACATCGCGCGCTTTATTGTCACAATGAACCTGCACACCACATCCTATAATAATATACAACTATACCTGCTGCATCTTGCAAAAAATGTGAAAGCAAGTGTCTTAGACCCCATTCCCATAGATCGATCTATCCCTGTGGGGAGTCTCACTAGACTACTGTCAGCTTAGCCGGCTTAAGCGTCTGTCCCGCCAACTAAAAGCTGTAAGGGGGTAATTTACTATGGTGCCCGCTCGGCTGACTGCAATTTAGCGTGAACCCCCAGGGAGTTAGGTCGATCTAAATCTAAATCTCTGGATCGATCTAAATCTCTGGGCATGCACCCTTAAAGCCGAGTGAGCTTCATCCTTGTGGTAAGTATGTGTTTGGCGGTGGTGTTAAAAGTGATGTAACATTTTATTTTACTATAAAATATTTGACTTTAAACCGCTTTTTTCACAAGTTGTAGGCTAACTGTACGGTTAAGTACACTTTTTAAACAACTGATTCCCTTCAATATGAAAGAGACTTTACTTAAAAACCCTCATTGAGTGATTCTTTGATGCCGTCGGCTGACATGAACTCCTAGTAGGACAAATTAAATATATATCAATCTAATTATCTTTAAGAAGGTCGCAGATAATTTTAATGAAATTTTCAATGCTTTTGCGCGAGACCATGACTCTCCTGACCACCTTACTTTAAGGGGTGAGAGCCATGTCATCCCGTCAATCTGTCCGTCTTTATGTCCGTGTGTTCCTCCATCTCTTCCAAGACAATAAGAGCGAGGAACTTAGAACTTTAGGGCTTGGTAGACCTATTATCAGGGATCATTGAGGGATGGGTATGCGCCGTTATGAAGAGGGACCGACGTGGGGATCTCTGGGGCTGATGTGTTCTTTAAATACGTAGTGTTTGTTACACTTATCACATTATTAAATCAATAAAGATATAATTCAAATGCAAAGTGAACAGTTTAAATTGTCCTTCATGTATCAGAAACGAAATATAAATCGCTCACCTTTCACACTTGACTGTGACGACGTTCACGTCTGTGTTCGACTTGTAGGTGTGGCTTTCTCTTCGATCGCAACCTTCATGCAGGTAAACCTAACACGGCACTCTTGTCCGATCTGATTGGTCGAATAGTGCTAAATGAGGAACGATACCCTTCCGCCTGAGAGTCTCGTTTTAGCAACCGAGAAGGGTTTATCTAACTTTTAGAAGTTTGTGTTTTACTTTCATCTTATGTAAATCTTTTATTTTTATTCGAACTCATGGATCTGCACAACCTCAAACTTTTGCTTGCAATGCTTTAAATAAACTTAATGTTAACAATATTACCGTTTTCATATATAAGTAACTCCGATAATTATTATTTTATATACTAATACTGATAATCCAATAATTTTTTGTGAGCTTAGTGAACCAAGGTATACTGGTAACGCAAAGCATAACCTATATTTAAACCGGTATAATTAATAACAAACGTCTTTGATGAATGTAATGTACCATTATAATATAGTTAATTTACTGGCAACAATACTTATATAAACTGACTAGCGGATGATAGAGAAGTGATACACGCACTTCCTTGTAACAATGTAAACATTGTCATATTCTCAATTTAATTTCTCTGAAGTTTCTTTTCCTGAAAATAACTATTTCAATATATTATTTTCAGTTCAGGTTTTCCAGTATAATTGAGAAACAGTGCTTATTTGTATTACAATATGTGCGTGACACACAGTAAGTTAATTCCTATACTGTGATAATAACACTTTCTTTTCAGTCAGGACGTCCCATTATAATCAAGCTACAGTAATTGTTTGAATTATAACAATACGTTGCACACAAATACTTCATATTCTGCCGTGAGACTGTTTAGTCACAGCTAACAGTTCTCCCCCTTGCGTGTATGGGCAACGAATATGCTGAAATATCGTTATTGAAACAAAACGTTCATGAGCCATTTGAAACATGAGCTACTCGACTCTGCTAACTACATGTAAATAATAAAATGTCCATTTTTAAAAACTTATAATGTTTTCATAGTCCATTGTTAGCTTGGTATAATCAGTCATAATTCATAGACTTTAATCTCGCCTGTCTTTTCCCCAACGACCAGTTGTCCGAGACGATTTATAGCAACATCTCTCGGCCAGTTAAGTCCATTTTCTTTGCTTAAAAGAAATTGCTTGAACTTCCCATCTTGAGAAACTAAGTGTAGACGATGGTTGTTGAGGTCTATTAAAATAATATCTCCATTATCCAAACAGCACGTGCCACCTGGACCGTTCACCTGGCCGTCCCCATCACCCTTGGTACCATATCTGTATTTAAGCTGGAGAGTGGAATCGTATACACGGATGTGATCATTTCCTTGATCTGTGACGATAACCTGATCATTCACGTTACAGTGGATGTATTTGACACAATTGCTCTCTGGGTCTAGTGTCTTCTTCAAGACCTTGCCATCCTTATGGTGCACAGTCAGAGTACTGTTACCAGCTACAACATAGTGACCCTTACTGTTGACCGCTACTGCTTCTGGTGACGCACTGTGGAATGTTCTCACGTGGTTTCCTGTCTTGGTGTAGACAATGATTTCATTTGATCCAAGACATCTAGTGAAGATGTTACCGTCATCATCAATGGCAATCCCGGCAAAGGCATACTTTTCTGCTGCTCTTGGATTTGGAATTGTGCCCTGTAGGACAAAGGTGGTATCGTAGATGTGGATTCTATTCCGTGACATGTCTTTCTGACACCAAATACCAATAAGGATATCACCATTTGTATCAGTGGTCACATGACTGATTATCTCCTCTGGAGACTCGGCCAATTCTACTTTGAACGATGTCACCAGTCTTCCACTTGCGACAGGAATCACGTCTCCAAGACAACGGTTGATATTGGTAACGCAATCCTCTATATCGTTGTTGATAATCTGTAGGTCGACATGGGTAATGGCTGCAGGCAGGGTCGGGATGTCGAGAGTCTGAACGCTTTTGCTGCTTTCCTCACAGGCGGAAGCCATTTGCAGCACATCCATATCGCTGCCATGGTTAATGAGTTTTCTCGAGAAGTCTACAGCGTCGTCTATTTGGTTTTGGGTGGCGGTAGCAGTTGCAATTAAATTATCTATAACTTCTAGTACGGCGTTCGACTTGGCATCTATTTCTTCCAGAAGATCAGCAGCACGTTGACGGACCATCTTGATAACTAGCTCTGTCTGCTTGTTAACTTGTTTCTTTGCCTCCTTTCCTCTCTCTTGTACTGAAGCTTTCTGGTCTTTAGCAGCGGTTTTAAACTGATGGCAGAGTAGACTTTTCTTCTCGATGGGTTTGGCGTGGATTTTTAGTTTTTCCTTTCGTTTGTCCGCAGCAGTTTTGATTCTCAGGCAATCATGATCTTTGTGTTCCAAAAACATACAAATGCCGCAGATGTACATTTCACACCGTTGACAGAAGACTTCTACGGGGTCTTTCTTGTTATGGTCACAAAGGATGTTTTGTCGGGCACGCAGCTCTGTCACGTATTCGTCGCTGTCTATCTGGTCGACAGGAAACAATTTGTGGTCACGACTGGACTTATGAAGCACATGGTCTGAAGAACAATCTCTACACATACTTTCCTCGCAGTCCAAACAGCGTTTTGTGGCGGGTGGTGGATTGCGGACATTTTTCAGACAACATACCTCGCATTTCTTGTCAGCTTTGGCTTGTTCCATTTGATCAATTGTATGTGAGATGCTGACCAGAAGGTGGTTTGTTTGTAAACCACTTACACCGCGCCAAGGGAGGTCACACTGACGTCTACAGATAGGACAAGGGAAGCCAGGCCGACCTTGGACATTTGTGTCCAAAAGTTGTTGGAGACAATGTTGGCAAAACGTATGCGAACAGCCGAGGACCTTGGGGTCTTTGAACTTTTCATGGCATATGCTGCACGTCAGGTAATCTTTTGTTAGGACCTTGGATAGAGACATGGTTCCTGGGACCAATATCTAAATAGAGAAATGAAAGACATCGAATCATTGACAAAGATTTGATAATGGAGGAAGCATTCATTTCCCGTCATCACGATATGCATACTAACCCAATATAGAGGTGAAAATGGGGTCACAGGCATGCTCTTAAAATATTAAGTGAACAGATTACAAACTATGTTCGATTATTTTAGGGTCCCACACGAACCATGAATAATAAAAAATAATTCAATGTCTAACTCCAAAAATGTCACAAATGCAAAACGTCCAGAGGCGGAAACGTTTTACTCACTTTGAAAATTCAATCATCAGTGGTTACATTTTATTTTTCATTTTTTAAAAACCCGCCACACTGCAACAATTGTCCCAACTATTTATTAAGATATTTAAAATTAACATTCCAGACATTTTCTGAGACGTAAGACATCATGATCGCTTCCTGTGAAGTTCTACTTCGTAAAAATAACTTGGATTGGATAATATAATATGGTGCTGCGAGAGACAGAAACGAAGGTTTAAAATTCAACCATTTTAGGTTTTATGTGTGAGAGCAGAAAAAATAAATTGTTTTTTAATGATTTAAGCTCCTAGACTGATGTTAGTAAAGTTCCTCTTGAATAAACAATTATTTCGCTAGCTTATTTCTAATTAGTTAAACAATGATAAACAGGGCCCCCGATTCAGCGGAAGTGCCTCGATTCCATAGCACGCCCATACTCGCCCCATATAATACACTGTAGCCTCTATGGCTGTATTCCCAGAGCTTTTAGATCGATCTATCCCCGCGGGGAGTCTCACTAGATTACTGTCTGATAATCCGGCTTAAATGTCCGTCCCGCCTACTACAAGCTGTAAGAGGGTAATTAACTTTCGTGTCCGCCCGGCTGACAGCTATTTAGCGTGAACCCCCAGGGAGTTAGGTCGATCTAAAGTAGATCGATCTTATCTCTGGAAATGGGGTCTGTGTGATATCACTATTGGCAATACGCGACGTTTTAAAGTTACGGGGCCCAGATCTATGTACATGTATACTGAATGTATATTATTTGAAACAATGTGGTTGTATTTGTCGGGTTTAGTCATGCATACACGCTTTACATGCTTCTTTTATTCAAAGAGAATTTAAGTTTCTTTAAAATAACTCTATGGGTGCAGTAGAGGACAGGGACAAGTGGTGACGTAGGCTCTGTTCTCACAACTTTTAGATCGATCTATCACCGCGGGGAGTCTCACTAGATTACTGTCAGATAATCCCCCTTAAGTGTCCGTCCCCGCCTACTACAAGCTTTAAGGGGTAATTAACTTTCGTGTCCGCCCGGCTGACAGCTATTTAGCGTGAACCCCCAGGGAGTTAGGTCGATCCAATGTAGGTCGATCTAATCTATGAGAATGGGGTGGTAGACTTAAGAATATTTTTTCAGGGGGTTCCGACCTTCCTCAACACTAATTGTCGGAAGATTGCAGTAGGCTTCCTAATACTGAGTGACTCAGGGGACATTTGTTACCACAAACACACAAACAATGGTATTACATAAAGAAGCTGAAATGCTTACAGCACATTCAATAGGTGGAATAATGTACAAATAATACAAATCAATCTTTTTTTCTGGCCCCTCAGTTCTAAATACCCTGGATCTGCCCCGGCGTAATTGATATTATGTCTGTGTTTACCTTCGAAATGTGGACGGAAATCAATCAATGCCCTTCACCTTTTCTCTTTTTTATTTAAAATACAATGTTTACCATCAAATTAAAATGCCCAACATCAGAGGCGATGAAAGGATGCATAATATTGGTAAAATTTAATACGTGTAGCTGTTGAAGGAAAGGTCGTGCAACTTTCAGTGCACGTGATAAACAGACGCAATCTTTAACAGCAAAAAAGAAAGTGCTGTGCTCTGTAAAATACCCAGTGTTTATTGTTACACGTTATTACCGGTACACTTATGTATATATACAGGTATCTAATATGCGAGAGAACAGTTAAATTATTACCTACATTTATTAGAATTGATATATAAACTCCCTTTACCTTTCACACGGGGGCTTGACGACATTCACGTCTGTATTCGACTGGTATGTGTGACTTTCTTTTCGACCTAGTTACAGAATGACGCACAGTAAACTACAAGTCACTCTTGTCCAATTTGATTGGTCGTGTTGTGCTTCAATGAGGCACGATACCCTTCCTTCTGAGAGCCTCGTTTTAGCTGCTGACAGTGTATGACGCGATATTAGTCAAACGTTCACTAACCGAGCTCTGTCATGTGTTACAGATTTCTTCCATAGATGAGCGCTTGATAGAGCGTTTGCACTTCACTGCCTGCTGCAGAAACCGTTGGCAATTATCATAATAATTATTATAATTTCTTTTGTTCCAGTATCAGAGTTATTGATAATTTTAATTATTTCATTCAACATTATATGATGATAAAATAGTGTAGTAATAATATTATATATAACCACCGTCCCTACCAATAATAGAAAAAAACGACAATTGACCGGGTGGCTCAAATGGTAGAGTGCTCGCCTCCGGTGCAGTGGATCGTGGGTTCATTTCCCAGCCGGGTCATACCAAAGACCATTATAGAAATGGTACCTACTGTCTCCTTGCTTAGCACTCAGCATATAAAAGTTGAAGTAGTGAACAAAGCCAGTATTGTTGAATGACTGGTATCAGCGGGCCATGTGGAAGATAAGCTTACGCTTCGAAACACTTTTATTCATTTATCTTTTATTTAAGTTTTAAAAGCCAGCGTTTTATTTCGGTCTCAATTTGATTTTAATGTAATTCCTGTATTTTTATTCCAACGCATGTAACGGCACAACCTCAACCTTTTGACTATTCAACTATTAATGCTGATAATCCAATAAATTATCTGAGAGTTTAGAGAATCAAAGCATAAATCAAAGCATAACCTAATTTTACCACTCGTATAATTTATTTTAAGAGTCTTTGATGAATGCATAGTACCAATATAATTAAAATTGTTTTTAGTGGGAGCCCCAATTATATAAAACTAATTGGCAGATCGAGGAGAGGTGATATACACACTAGAACTTGTAACAAAATAAATATAGCCATGTTCTCAATTATAATACTCTGCCAGTTATTTCCTTTTCTGAGAAGAACAGTGTCAATATCATATAATTGTTTTTCAGATACGGTTTTCCTGAATAATAACTCTTCCTTTGAGATTCAAAATTCCGCAAGAAATACATTGTAAACAACAGGATTTCCTATTATTATCAGTTAATGATTGCATTATAACAATATACACTGCACAGAAATACTTCATATTCGGTCATGTAAGTGTTTTGTCACAGCTAACAATTCTCATCCTTATGTTCAACCAATGTGTTAATCTTTATTGACACAAAGCGTGCATGATCCAAGTGACGGTAACATACTAGTAAGAGCTGCTAACTTTCTAAATTATGAAATATCCAGTTTTTCTCTCTCTTTTTTCTTTTTCATAAACATAATATTTCCGTAGTTCCTTGATAACTAGGTATACTGGCAATCAGTCAAAATTGAAATAGTTTAATTTCGCCTCTCTGTTCCCCAACTAGCAGTTGTCCGAGACGATTAATTGCAACATCTTTCGGACAGTAAAGTCCATTTTCTTTCCTTAAAAGAAATCGCTTGAACTTTCCGTCCGGTGACACCAGGTGAAAACGATGGTTGATGGGGTCTGTTAGAATTATGTCTCCATTAGCAAGGGAGCATGTGCCGCCTGGAAGGTTCGCCTGTCCGTCTCCATCACCCTGTGTACCATATCTGTATTTGAGCTGGAGAGTGGAATCGTATACACGGATGCGATTATCTCCTGGATCTGAGACTATGACGTCATCATTCACATTACAGTGGATGTATTTGAAATATTTACCCCCTGGGTCTGGTGTCGTCTGCAGGACCTTGCCATCCTTGTGGTGCACAGTCAGAGTATCACTACCGGCCACCACATAGTGACCCTTGCTGTTGACTGCTACTGCCTGAGGTGACTCACTGTAGAATGTTCTCACGTGGTCCCCTGTCTTGGTGTAGACAATGATTTCATTTGACCCCTGACAACTAGTGACGATGTTACCGTCATCATCAATGGCAATCCCGGCAAAGGCGTACTTTTCTGCTGCCCGTGGGTTTGGAATTGTGCCCTGTAGGACAAAGTTGGTATCGTAGATGTGGATTCTATTACGTGAACTGTCCTCATTACACCAAATACAAGTTAGGATGTCACCGTTGGTATCAGTGGACACTTGGTTGATCCATTCCTCTGGAGACTTGGCCAATTCTACTTCGAATGATGTCACCAGTCTTCCACTCGCAGCAGGAACCACGTCTCCAAGGCAACGGTTGATACTGGTAACGCACTCCTCCATGTCGTTGGTGATAAGCTGTAGGCGGGTCATGTCTGCAGGCAGGGTCGGAATGTCGAGAGTCTGAACGCTCTCGCTGCTTTGCTCACAAGCGGAAGCCATTTGCAGGACATCCATATCGCTTCCGTGGTTTATGAGCTTTCTGGAGAAGTCTACAACGTCGTCCAGTTGGTTTTGATCGGCGGTAGCAGTCGCAATTAAACCATCTAAAACTTCCAGTTTAGCGTTTGACTTGGCATCTATTTCTTCCAGAAGATCATCAGCACGTTGACGGAGCACTGTAATCATTAGCTCTAATTGCTGGTTAACTTGATTCTTTGCCTCCTTTCTTCCCTCTTCTACAGACGATTTCTGGTTTTCAGCAGAGGCTTTAAACTGATCGTAGAGTAGACTTTTCTTCTCGATGGGTTTCACGTGGATTTTTAGTTTTTCCTTGCATTTGTCAGCAGCAGTGTTGATTCTTAGGCAATCATGCTCCTTGTGTTCTAAAACCATACAACCGACGCAGATGAACTTTTTACAGACTGGACAGAAGATTTCTACGGGGTCTTTATTGTTGTGGTGACAAAGGATGTTTTGTCGGGCACGCAGCTCTGTCACGTATTCGTCGCTGTCTATCTGGTCGACAGGAAACATTTTGTGGTCACGGTTAAATTTATGAAGCACATGGTCCGAAGAACAATCTTCACACATACTTTCCGCGCAGTCCAAACAGCGTTTTATCGCCATTGGAGGATAGCAGACATTTTTCAAACAACACACTTCGCATTTCTTGTCAGCTTTGGCTTGTTCTACTTGACCAAGTGTGTGTGATATGCTGACCAGAAGGTGATTTGTTTGTAAACTGCTAACACCGCCCCAAGGGAGGTCACACTGACGTCGGCAGATAGGACAAGGGAAGCCAGGCCGCCGGCCTTGGGCATTTTTGTCCATAATGTTTTGTAGGCAATGCTGACAAAACGTATGCGCACAGCTGAGGAGCTTGGGATCTTTAAACCTTTCAAGGCAGATGCTGCACGTTAGGTAATTTTGTGTCAGGATTTTGGACAGAGACATGGCTCCTTGGACCAATATCTAAATAGAAAAATGGAAGACATCGAATTATCGACAAAGATTTAGTAATGGAGGTAACGTTTACTGTACGCCATCACGACATAATAAAATATGTATTAAACAATGATAAAAAATATATGTTCTTGGACAAACAAAGCAGTGGTCATAAACCAACAACTTGATTATTAAACATATATTATATTAATTTCTGTTGAAAATTACCACTACTATTACTACTACTACTACTAATAATAATAATAAATTTTATATTCAATTAAAGTATAAAGTCCATATATATTTGTATTTACTAATAAAATACAAAGCTAAAGGGTTACTTCAAATTGCAAAGGAATTTTATCAAAAGTAAAGAGAAATAATGATCGATTGTAAAGTTCTGTGTTTAGTACACATTGTTCATTTATGAATTTTGTAAAAATGGTACGATTTTAATCCTTTTTTAATCATCTCCTGAGCTTTTTTCTGATGATATTTGTTTCCATTCGTAAGTGGTCATGATGTATGTCTAAGATGAAAGTATGTAGTGCAGAGACAATGTATTAAAGCACACGTGTGCATGTATTTCATTGGTCAAACTATCAGACTGATTTGTCATCATTTGTTTAACTACATGTAGTTTCAAAACCATTGACAACCCGCTGTAATTAGCGTTCTGTGTTCGCGTTCTGAGGTGTTAACATTTGTGTAAAGCCATTCCCCTTCTATTTTGTCTTTAACAAGCAGTTAATTACGGCCCCCAGATGTCCCGATATACTTGCGCATTTTATTCATTCGACTTTCGGGATGGAAAAGAAACTGTACATCTAGAATTTTTGGTGAACTAGTTTAAACCCATGGCACGTTATTCCTCGGAGTCCACTGCGTCTTTAGTCTACTTAGAGTATAATATCACTTACATTATATCTTTACGAAATTGGGGTTGCTATTGGAGGACGGTGTTTCTCCAAAGACGACAGTAATACACAGTACGAAACGGTACAGGAATATACCTCCACTAGTACGTACTGTATGCCACCCTCATGAAAGCAAATGATATATACTTTTTAGTAGAATTTTCTAGACGTAATATTTGATGCATACGTATACACTGCTCAAACATTTTTCACGAAAAGGGAATCAGTCCTCGCGTATGGATGCCGCCCTGCTCTCGGATTTAAACTAATCCCATTTTTACTTTAAATGTAATCAAAATACCAGATGCTTACCTTGTGGTAATTTCTATGTCAAAAATATTTTACATGTGTGTATATGGTTCAAATCACTCGATGCCAATTGGGCCAGCGTGCATATGCTGTCGCAAGTTACAGCCCGCAAATGATTAGACGGAAGTGAAGTTTCACGGATATCCTACAACCTGACTTTGTTGGAGAGGAAAACATCGATTCCAGCTCTTTTGCCAACTACTTTTGTGAACTAACACACACAGAGGCATAACAACTTCCAAACCTTTCCGCCTTAACTTGTGCTCAAAGCTCACTTCAACAACTATTGTGTCACAGGCCACATGACATACATGTGTAGACCTGTTGCATTATTTGTGTATATTGAGATGGGTTTGAAAAAAATGTTTCGACTATTTTGTTGACATACTAGGCAATTGAATTTAACCTTCTTTTCGTGATATGTTTATAATTTGAACTTAATTAATTAACACTTTGTCTGCAAAGATGATTAGCTAATTTATCAAGCAAATAAGAGTATAAAAAAACCAACGCAAATTAATTTCTTGTTTTAGCATGTTATAAGCCAGGTAAAGGTAATCAATCTCTTTCTTTGCTGTTTAATTATGAAGTGTTTTGTAATCAATATAAATACTTCGATCTCAGGTTGAAAAATGGCTGATAAATTGCAAAAATATTATGCAGTTTTTAAAGTCCAGTTAAGCAGTTAGTGCAATATTGTGTACTACCGGTACGTACATGTATCATGCGGGTTATGTGGTCAGATGACCGACAAGTGACATATGGAGCTTAGCTCTGTTGTAAAAAAAAAAATGAAAAGGTGAGCTAACGAAGAACAATTGATATAACAAATGAGTTCATTATGTTGTTGATATTTAACAAACCAAACTTGTAAAGTCTAAATCAAGCCAAATCCATTATTTAAATGTTCAGTTTTCGTAGTTTTCCTTTAGTCTTGCGAAGGACTTCCACAGGTGCCCCCAAGTGTTTTTTAACTTATGTCCCTGATACGTGTTATGCCAGTTTTTATGAGAATCACTCCATCTGCATATGTTACTTTTACTGCATATAAAAAGTGCAAGCCATTCAAAGTAAATCAATATTCGCTGTATGATGTTGTTTTAATACAATCAATAAAAACTTTTCGATCCCAGATAAAAAATTAGCAGGTAAGTATAATAAACAATAGACAGCAGTTTGTGAATATTTTAACCCTTCATTAATATTTCCATGTTGGAAGCTATTTATGTCCTAGGCGTATTTTATGTATATTGAATGTTTATTATTTGAAACAATATTGTTGCATTTGTCAGGTTTAGTTTTTATTCAAAGACAATTTAAGTTTCAGTAGGGCAATTTGTGACTTAGACTTTAAAATTATTTTTAGGGGTGCTGCCCTTCCTAAACACTTAATTTGTCGTAGGCTTCCTAGTACTAGGTCCAACAAAAAGAGCTGCAATGCGTATAACACATTCATTGGGTGGAAATGTGTACAAATAATACAAATCATTTTTTTACCTCTGGTTTACACATACGCTTGATTGGCTCCAGAGTAATCAATAATATGTCCATGTTTACCTTCGGATATGGTCGGAAATCAATAAATTTTCATTTCACTTTTTTGTCTTTTTTGTTGAAATCAAATGTTTACCATCAATTTAAATGCTCAGCATCAACTGCGATGAAAACATGTATAATTTTAGTAAGTTTTAATACGTGTAGTTGTTGGAAAGTAGGTCAGCCAACTTTAAATGATGTACAGACGAAATCTTTAAAAGCCAATAATGAAAGATGGTGAGTTAGCAATGACCTGGTGCCGCTGTGCTGTTAAAAATATCATTTTTTATTACAAACTATTACATTATTGTAGATATACTGGCGTCTCACATGCGAGTAAACAGTTAATGTATACAACATGTATAAGAAACGATATATAAACTCCCTTTACCTTTCACATGGGGCCTTGACAACATTCACGTCGGTGTGCGTCTGGCAGGTGTGACTTTCTTTACGATCTAGGTAACAGAATGACACACAGTTAACCCTGATGTAAACTAAACACGTCACTTATGTCTGATCTGATTGGACGAGAAGTGGTGAATACGGAACGATGTCCTTCCCCCTGTGAGTCTCGTTTTAGCTACCAACAGTTTGTGACACGATGTTACTGGAAGTCATACGTCCACTGACCAAGCTCCGTTGTGTGACATTCTTCCACAGATGAGAATTTTACAAATCGTTTGCAATGCAATTCTCTCTGCACAAACCGTTTAATGATCTTTCATATTAATATTCTCATATAAACGTTTGTATGATTACTGTGCAAAGGAATTAAAAATGCATATTTTTATGTGGATGGCAACACTCAACAAACTCTACCGCAAGACAGCATCAGAGCCTTGTAACAGGAATGGTAGTCCGCTAGGAACCGCAGTCCGCTTCCCATTACTTTGTACAAAGGTGACATTCGTCCCATATACTGACCCCAATACTCCAACTAACCCTAACCTGTACTAATCATATGGGAGCCCGGACTTCCATTCCATTCTTGTCACACTGGTGAGAAGGGAATGGTAGTCCTAGAAATGGAAGTAGACTGAAAAGCTGTGGTGAATGTTGATGATTTGATACTCCTCAGCAACTACAAAGTGATTTCATGAAACGATTAGGCTAAGATGGTAGCTTAAAAAGGGTGCTGGGCTACATGCCATTACACTTTATTTAGAATATACCATCCCCTGTATAAAAATGTGGACATGTAATTTTTTCTCACATGAAAAGATTCTTGTGCCACCCGTAACCCATAAAATGTGTAGTCGTCTCTACCGCCTGAACTTCAGAGTATGTTATCGAAGGTAGGGATGCACTATTAGGAATTGGTTTGGTACATGTAAGTGGAGAGTTAAAAATTCACCTGAGGAACAATATTAATGTTTTTATTACCGAAAATCACTGACAGTACAGCCCAACAGAGACAAAAGGTGAAAATCAATAAACAGATAATTAAATCACACACCCTTTAAGACTTTATAAGAATAATCGCAAGCAGGATTTTGGAGTACTAAATGGTGGCATCAAATCGGCGTAGAAACGATGATCGAGAGACCAAGGTGAAAGAAATGTGAGAAACCGATTTTTCCATTTTTTTACCCCAAAATCATAATTATCACGTCACCCGTAAAATGACATACAGTATGTGTAAATGCTAATTAATTTAGCCAATGAAAACTGATGATTTGCCTACCCAAAAGAATGTATGTAAGGCAGTAAATAAGGAGTTTTGGGCGAAGGCTGACAATATCTTTAAACTTTTTCATATGTAAGACTCTCCGATCGTACTTCTTTCGTATGCTAATTCTGATAATCCACTCAGTTGTTTGGGAT